AGTTAACATTCCGTGAGGTATATATCTACAATAAATTATAATAATAAATTTATTATTACCGTACCATCTCTCTCTAAGTTTGCTCGTTTTAATATTTAACCTTAATTTGTTTATTCTGTTTTTTTTTATATTTCTGACTATAATTATATGCTTAAGAGCTCCATTTTTATCATTATTACTACGGTAATAATAATAATACTAACAATAATTATATATATATATGTATGTATACAGGTATATATGTATACAGGTATATATGTATACAGGGCTGGACACATTTCAAATACTTGTATATACAAATTGTATTATATTTCAAATACAATACAAAATATATTTTGTATTTCAAATACAATTTCAATGTATTAGGTTATCCGGAAAGTAATTTCGTTTTTTCTTATGAAAATGAAAGACAATTTTCAATCAGACGCGTTTCAAATGATCATGAACGGTCGAATTCGATACATTTAATCTCTCAGCGATCTCACGAGTTGTTATTCGCCGGTTTGCATCAATTAATGCCTTTATTGTGTCTTCATCAGGCTTCAACTGGCCTTCCAGAACGTGGTGCATCTTCAACATCAAAATTGCCGGATCGAAATTTTGCAAACCAGTTTTGGCACTGGCGTTCTGTCAATACATCTTCTCCATACACATCGGATAATTTTTTCTTGCTTGAACAACATTTTTACCTTTTCGATAGTAAAAAAGTAAAATATGCCGAAAATGCTGCTTTTCCCTTTCCATATTTGATAGGGCACCAACCAAAAACTACTGCGTAGAATCAAACTGTTTTCACAAGCAAGCCTTGCTATATCAGCTGTAATGCAAAATATATAATGATTATGCGGCTTAAGTGTGAAGTTGGCTGTGAAAAAATACAATAAATCTTCTGTTGGGAAAAAACGAAATTACTTTCCGAACAACGGTTATATTATATATACCGTTATAACAACGGTAATAGTTATATTTGAAATGTCAAAAAAAATCTTTGATAATAATTCTTGAAACAACGCGAATAGACTTACTACTGGCTGCATTCGGAAACGTTAAACCTATGGCAGAGAACGAGATGTAACAAGATATAAGGGAGCGTTTATATTAGTCGTAACCGTATGCCGTAATCTATAGAATCGACTAATCACAATCGAATATTCCCCTCTCATTTGACTGTAAGAAGGGAATACTGTAAGAAGGTGATTGGTCAATTTTTACAGTTTACGGCATATGGGCCAATATAAACACACCCTAATTGTCGTAGTCGTGACATAGAGTAAAGCCTATTCTACAATAGTCGTAACGTAAGCGTAGTTGTAAGAATTGACCAATCAAGTCGAATGTGAGGAGAATATTTGACTATGATTGGTCAATTCTTACAACTACAACTACACTTACAACTATTGTAGAATAAACTTAAAGCCTGTTCTAGAATAAGGTTGCAAGCCATAAATCGTAAGAAATTAACCAAATTATAGTCGATTATTTTTTTTCATATTCAACTGTGATTGGTCAATTTCTTACGGTTAGGTAGTAAAGAACGTATAGATGTCGTAGTTGGAAAAGTGCCGGAAAAGTTCTCTGTCATTTAAAAATGATATAAATTTTGAGTGCAATTAATATCGTTTGTTTTATAATAAATGATTATGTGTGACGCTCGTCCCTATTTTATAATTAAAAAACATTTAGAAGTATATTGTATTAAAAAGTATTTTGTATTTGAAATACAAATTTTGGACGTATTTTGTATTAAAATCTAAATATCTACTAAAAAAATACTAGGAAAAGGAAATATCTACTAAAAAAAATATCTTGTTTTTCAAAACAAAAAATTTTGAAATACATTTTGAATTTGAAATACAAAATTTAAAAGTATTTTGTATTTTGTATCTCAAAATCAAAATCAATTCAAATACTAAGATTGCCAATATTTTGTATTTTGTATTTCAAATACTTTGATGATGTATTTTGCCCAGTCCTGCATATATGTGTATCCACACACACACACACACACACACACACACACACACACACACACACGCGCGCGCGCGCGCGCGCGCGCGCACACACATACACGTGCGCACGCGCACGCGCACGCACACACATACACACACACACACATAATTTACATCGAAATGTAAGCACTAATAGGAT